ATCGAGGCTAGGCCAAACAATCAATCGCTAAAATCTCGGTTCAGAGTGGATTAATTTGACTGAAATTTTCAGCAAATTCCCTTTACATTATCTAGATTTTAACTATTATAGTGAGAACTGCCAGCTCTTTATCTAATCCCCCATAATGTATGTTTAATATGGCGATACACGTTATTATAACCCGCACCACAAGCTAATACCTAACACAAACAATACTTGTTATCAATCAATTCCAAACGTATCGTATGATAATACAATGAATACAAAGTATTTGGATCAGGTCCAAAACCGTTTACTATACTGGCTGTCGACAATAAGTAAATACAATACCCATTTCCTATCAATTGCTGCTCTACCTTCTCAAGGTGATCTTGCCATTCATGTTTATCTACTGAACATTTTTCTCTTTTTACTTAAAGTGAAAGTAGAGTTCTTTAATACTCGTGATATTATAAATCAAAACTTTTTATATCATATATTGACGGATTTAATCAATCTCTGTACAGACCAACACGCCTTTCTCTATGATTATTTACCAGGCTGTGAATATTCTTTCTTTTGGAGTTGTACGTGACGAGGAATAGGGTCGCCTGTCCAACCTCGTGGGTTTTCTCCGGGCACTCCGGTTTCCTCCCACTGCTAAAGACCCATACGCACAAGCGAATTATTAAAATAAAAAATGACCCAGTTTGTGTCGAGTGTACGTTAAACTCCACCCCTCTCTCTCTCTCTCTCTCTCTCTCTCTCTGATCGGACGATATCCGCAGACAGTTCCTATATTGCTGCACTATGAAAATACTCTAAAATACCACTCTTCCACACCTCTGTTCTAAGGCTATTATGGAACCCTTTCCTTCTATTTTCACCGTGATTCTTCTTTGCTCGCCACAGGAATCATTTTTTATTTTTGCCACAGCTGAATTTATAATAATTTAACACTATTTTCAAGTAGAATTTTGCGATTATAACATACAAAAAATACGTTTGAACTGATCAACCATTAAGAGACACTAACATGCGCAGACCGCATTTAATCACAAAATTCTACTTGAAAATAATGCTGAATTATTATAAATGTGTGTTAGATATGACGAGAAATGATTCCTGTTGCGAAAAATAAACATTCACGGTGAAAAGTAGAAGGTAAAGGTTCCAAAATAGCCATACACCAGAGGTGGGGATGGGCGATATTTTCATATTGCAGCTATATGTGGACGGATAGGAACTGTCAGCGGACATCGTCCGACCAGAGACAGTTCCTTAAGGAACTAGGATCCGTGGTGGCTCAGTGAGTAACCGGGTTAGATCTCGATGTCGATCTAGAATGGTCCTCGTGGTTTTCCAGCCTGACTTCCATTTCTCATTTGATAACGAGAAGACGGTAACGCCCCCCTGTCCGGGCTTTTTTTCCATATGGCACGCTGCATTGTATATGTCCGTCTTCATTAGCCAGGGAGTCACGGTGGTTAAGTGAGTAAGACTGGCTCGGTAGCCTGGAGGTCGCCGCCAAGAAAGTTGATCGGGATTTTCCGGCTTCGTTTCCCCTTGTCAGTGGTGTAGGACTGACGGCCTGAAAAGGACAACTGTCTAGTCTTTCGGATGGGACGAAAAACCGGGGTCCCGTTTACACATTGGCGTGCACGTAAAAGATCTCTTGACGGATGAAATTCGATATAAGCGTAGGCCGTAGCGCCGCTGTCATGGCAAAATTTCCCCAATAGCACACTGCATGGCGTATGCCCGTCCTATCATTAGCCCGGTCGGAGCAGAACATTAGCCCAGTTGTCACCGAAGAATAGGACGTTAAACCCAATTTTATTTTTGTAAACGGGATAATAATACTTCGTAACAATCTTACATATTTTAAAGAAATCTCGCATATAAAATGTAGGTACAAAAAGTTATATCATGTTTTCTCTCATTATTTATATTATTACATAAGAAACTAAACTGGTACAACCAAATAAAAAAATAAAAAAAATAGATGAATGGGCTATTGAAAACAACTTGACAAAGAAATATTTTTTTTATGTCGAAATACATTTGATATAATTAGATGATACATAAAGTCGACCATCAATACAACACATTGCCTTAGAAATTATAGACTTTTTTCTGTATAAAGAAACGAATGAATAATGAAACAGTATATCAATTGAAAAGATACGTACATTAAAACTTGTACACAATGCATGCAATGGTATAAAACTCTTAAATTTATTGCATATACTTAATTTATTTAAAAGTGACACAGCAGGTGGCAGGAGATCGATTCCCTTCGTTCGTCCGTTCGTTTCTAAGGTGATATCGTAGACAATATTCCATTCGACTACGATGTTTGTTTTATTTAATACGCATCGGCGTACAGAGAGGGGGGAGGGGTAGAGGAGGTGTGAGCCCGGAGCATTATTCACTATAGCAATCTTACCTGTGCGATGTGTATCTTTAAGTTACCCAGATACCTTACCTTTATATATATTAAGCATATAGGTAATTAGTTAGTCTGAATACCTACATAACAAAGTCCACCTGTATTCTAGTATAGTATGAATAGTTTATATTTAGATGTGGGAGTGCAGATATGGGAGTTATCGATCTATATGTTACGATCACCACAACCTTGATAAACGGTAAATATTGCAGGTTTACTTGCACCAACATGTGACACGGATTTTTCTAAATAAAATTCCCTGGGCTATAGTTTACTGCAAAGTCAATATATACGTTTAACTCGGCAATAAGACTTTAAACTTGAGCGTGGTACGTGAACTGTGTACACAAAATGATTCATTCATAGTCACTATTTCACGCACTCGATATCTGCATATATACATATATAATATCTGCATATATACATATATAATATATCGTCGTCTTCCTGAACCTATTATTTATCGCTGCTGAGATCCCAGTTCAGATGTCCTTCTACTACTAGTCTCCAGCTACACAAGACCTTTCTTTACGAGAGTTGTCATCGCTTTTCACTGCCATATATATATATTTATATGAGAGAGAGTGGGGGGGGGCGTGAGAGAGAGAGAGTGTGGGAGAGAGAGAAATGAGGAGACAGAGGGGCGAGAGAAAGAGAGAGAGAGGGGGGGGGGTAAAGAGTGGGAGTTAGAGAGAAGTGACTAGAGAAAGAGCACAAAAGGGAGAGGAGCTAGAGAGAGGGGGCTAAAAAGAGAGGGGGGGGGGGGTGAGGAGGGCGAGAGAGGGAGATCGATACTTTACTTTAAATTCCTCATGTCTCGATTAACACTCGGCGCATCTTTAATTTCGGTAATTCACTTGTGCGCAAGGGCTAGGAGGTCATCAGAGCAGAGTACCACAGATCAGCCACGAACTTAAACATGATCAAATCATGACTTGCATTATTATAGATAACATACCGTATGATATACGTCGCGCGCTTAAGTCTGCTCGGACCACCTAACAATGCCGTACATAACATGGTTTAATAATTATCTCCCCCACTGACTTCAATTTTAATCCATGACATTTCTTGGCAGATAACATATTTTTTTTTTCAATCTGATTAAAACACAGATCCTACTTCCTTTCGTTTTTTTATAGTTCAAAATTTCGTTTTACTTGTCTTTGGTAGACTGGGATCTAGAAGAGATGTTACATAACCCGCATTCTGGATGATGTGAGGGATTAGCCAATGAAACGGTCTGTTAAGGCTAGTTTTTGGCGTGAGGTGCACGGAACTGTAGGTAACCCACTAGAAACATCAACGCTGATTGGTTAATCATATCTAACGTCATAGGGTCAAAAACCGCTCGAATGACCTCTAACGCGACCTTCCACTACGATAGGTCAGATCTTTATGTAGTAGAGGCCATCAAAAGTATAAAAAAAATCGAAACGAAATAATAGATCTGTATTTTAATTTGATTGCATTTTTTTAAATATACAGATGATCTTTATAACCACAAAGGGCCCAACATGTCACAATCATGTGATAAGGGGTTAACGGTTTCAATTTTTTCTAGGCCTGGTCAAAGGATTCTATAGGCAGTAACATCATTTTAGATAATGATCACCCTAATTCATTTCTGTTTACTGCCTGATCCCTCCGCCTAAAAAATCATGAATATTCAACATGAACAGTCACATAAACCATGAACAATGACAAACTAAACTACGAACAAAATATCTCCAATTAAATCATATCTTGTGTGTCATGATTCTATTCACACCAGTTCTGCTTTCTGGACTGGTGGATTTTTATAACATCTGAAATCAACTCCATATTGTATTTTTGACCTATATCAAAGATCTTTATCAAAGACCTTTAAAAAAAACACCCGATTGAATATTCTTACGTCCTTGAAGGAGATATTTAACAAGACGACAAGATATCGGGTGATAGCTATGTCGAAGCGGCAAGAAGACACCTAATTGATAGTTATGTCGAAGTGGGAAGAAGAAAGACTAATTGATAGTTATGTCGAAATGAGAAGAAGCCTAATTGATAGTTATGTCAAAGTGAAAAGAATCCGAATTGATAGTTATGTCGAAATGAGAAAGCCTAATTGATAGTTATGTCGAAATGAGAAAAAGAAGCTTAATTGATAGTTATGTCGAAATGAGAAGAAGAATCCTAATTGATTTTTATGCCAAAGTGAGAAGAATCCTAATTGATAGTTATGTCGAAATGAGAAGAAGAAGCCTAGTTGATAGTTATGTCTGATTTTACAAAGTTAAACTCCAGGGGCCTGTTTCACGAAATTTTAACTAAGATAAAATCCAAATTTTAGTAATTTGATTGGATAATATTAGACTGATTTTAGTGCTTAGCCAATCGAAATTGAAGTATCTACTAAAATTTGGATTTTATCTTTAGTTAAGATTTCGTGAAACCGGGCCCAGGATAACAATAAGTATGTGTCAATGTATCATGTTATGGTTTTCTTTGTCGTTGCCTGGCAACCAATCTTAAATTTTATATTTATTATTCGACTATGCAAATAATATAACTGATTTTATCTTTTCAGATATATTATGTGTTGAAGAATTTTTTACGGGGAACCATGGAAGGTTTTGAAGTTATAGTGGACGCATGGCCGGAATGGCAGTGTGTGATACTACGTCCTGTAAATCAGGAAGCGGTAGGTCAAAATTCACATCACGATTTACTAATACCCTCAACACAGACATTTTAGATTTTAATTTAATACATCATCAGTGGCGAGTAATGGGAAAGGTTTGCTAACCCCCCCCCCACACACACACACACACACCCTACACCCCCTCCTCGCTTTACAACATTATTTGGTACAACTTTTCATGCGTCGAGTACACTTGACTTTCAAGGACAGCTGTCTAGTAGTTCAGATGGGACGAAAAACCGAGGTCCCGTGTACCCATTGGCATGTACGTAAAACAAATCCCTTGACAGTTGGAATTCGATATCAGAGTAGGCCGTAGTGCCGCTGTCCGGGCAAAATTTCCCTCATGGCACACTGTATGGCGTATGCCCGTCTTCATTAGCCCAGTTCGGAGCAAAACAGTAGGGACAAAACAATAGGATGTTAAACTCCATTTAATTTCATTTTTGTTGTATTAATTGTAATTTAGAACGAGTCCAGGGGAGCAAAAATATAGGATGTTAAACTTCATTCGTTTCATTGGACTTTGTATTTAGATCATCGGCACTGAATAGGAGATGATGAACGTGACATTTACTCGATAGTCAACCAGGATGTTATTAAAATATCACATATTAATCACTCCTACACTTTGTTATTGTTATATAACCAAATGTCAGTTACCATGACATTTGAAGCAGAGTATTTCCGCAGATAATTCGGGTAAAATAAAGTTCCCCGGGAATTTGCCAGTGTGTGCCCCCCCCCCCCCACTCTTGTCTGTGATGCGGGACAGAGGGTCAGGCAAAACAATAGCATCTAGACGGTGATATGGGACGAAAAACACACGTCCCATGTACTTGTTGGTGTGCAGGTAAAAACGTTTATCTCAGTGGGGGCAAACGTTCCCTGTGTGGATTTTCCGGTGTGGTTCCCCGTTGTCAGTGATGCCGGACGGAGGGCCTGACAAGAACAGCTGTCTAGTCATTCGGATGATAAGAAAAACCGAGGTTCCGTGTATACATTGGCGTACAACATTATTTGGTACAACTTTTCTTCCACTTGTCTTTCAAGGACAGCTGTCTAGTAATTCGGATGGTACGAAAAACCGAGGACCCGTGTACCCATTGGCATGTACGTAAAAGATCCCTTGACAGTAATTGGAATTCAATATAAGAGTTGGCCGTAGTGCCGCTGTCCGGGCAAAATTTCCTTCATAGCGCACGGTATGGTGTAAGCCCGTCTTCATTAGCCCAGTTCGGAGCAAAACAGTAGGACGTTAAACCCGATTTCATTTCATTTCCCTGTGTGGTGTATGCCAGTCTTCATTACCTCAGTTGGTGCAGAAACATAGGGCGTTAAACTCCATTTCATTTCATTTCTTTTCTTTTCATTTCAGGTACCTGGTTATTTCCGGCATTATTATATATGTTACGCCAAAACCGTAACTTCTTTAAAATTCTTCTTACAACGACCAGGTGTGATAGATTGGGATAAGCCTGCGACATTTACAGGTAGGTGTTCTTTTTCTTCTTCTGGTCGGGTTGAACGTGCGTTTCCACCTTGAGGGATATCGCACGCAAATGTTTCCAAAAGGAAACAGGGCCGTAACTAGCTCAGAGCAACGAGGGGGAGGGGGACGGGAAGTGTTCTCAGGGGTGCTGTATAATTGACAGACAATGTAGATCTATTGTTTTTATGGTCGCCCCCCCCCCCCCCCCCCCCCTAGTCACGGACCAGTCATAGGAAATTTGCAAGAAGAGCCAGTCGTAAATGAGAGATTTGTCTAGCGTAGACTGGAGATGGATGAGCGAGGGGGAACTTTTGCCGCCATCATTACCTTGATTAAAGGCGCACTCGTTTCTTTTGGGATATGTCCTTTGAAGATGTTATGGACATGGTTTGGTAGAGTTTTGGGGGGCTTTATTGAAATATAGTCACTTTGTGAACGCTCTAGCGACAACAGGTATCGTCGTATTTGCCTGAAATTTTTATGCACTGTTTAGCGACAGAAGTTACACGGTCAAAAGCGTGTTATTTTTTTTATATACCACTGCCTTTGTTGTATATAGATGCTGTGTACCTATATTTCGTTTCCCGGCATCCTATCTTCTTCCTGTTTCGAGCGAAGCGAGCGTACCTTTAAGAATAGATTTTACTGATTTTTTACCGGCATTCGTCTTAATTTGTTACATCCTTAGAACTGAGAAATTATATTGATTACGTTGAATATAGTAGGTGTAACATATATACTCACCTTTGTCTTTTATATTTTATATGTAGGTGTTTCATATGATATATGAACCTCTTTTTATTATATATCTTGTATAGTTTATCTGTAAATGTACCATTTATTGCCCATCTTTGTTATTATATGGCTTGTATAGTTTATCTCTTGTGTAATCTATCTGTAAGTGTACCATATATTGCCCACCTTTGTTATTATATGTCTTGTATAGTTTATCTGTAGGTGTACCATATATTGCCCACCTTTTTTATTATATGTCTTTTATATTTTATATGTAGGTGTTCCATATGATATATGAACCTCTTTGTTATTATATATTTTGTATAGTATAACTGTAGGTGTACCATATGATATATTAACACCTTTGTTATTATATGGCTTGTTATTATGTAACTGTACCATATATTGCCCGCCTTTGTTATTTTATGTCGTGTATATTTTATCTGTAGGTGTACCATATGATATATTACCAGTTATACAAGAAGTCAGTAAGAAACGCGGTGGTCAACTACCTTATATAGAACCTAGATTTATGTACTGTTGGTCTAAGGATCCACCTGAAATACCCAAGTAAAATTTTATATTTTTTCTTATTTTCATTTATTAATTTTATACTGTAAACAACAGAAAGATCTAAATGATTTGGCTTTTAATACTTCAATTGAAACATCTGATTCAAAGTACGAAACTACTAGCTCTTTACCCTGAAACCGGAAGTAGTAATACAACCATTATTATTTTGGCTCATGCGACTCCCCGACTCGATCTGCCCGCATACCCCAAAGGTCAGTCTCGCTGCAGCTCTCGTGTAGCCACCAACCCGGAATAGATGGCACTCACGAATATACACTGTTAATTAAACTGAGACTATTGACTTATAAACATATGCCTTGTCGTTAAATCATACAAGTTATCAATACTCTAAAACAAAATGGCGGCCTAGATCTGTTTGTGTCATTTGTAAAAGTCATTTGTTCGTACGTCAACGATATAAAATTTACAGTGATATTTATATAGGATAACGGTATTTTTTCCTGTTGGATATTCTGCTCTGTGTGCCTGCCGCGAAGTTAAGTTAATGATACACGAATATTGTACCTAAATGGGGAAGTAATTTTAATATTCCCAAACAGTCGGGTGACGGACTATATCTACTTTCAAAATTAAAATTGTAACCAAATCGGGAAGTGTTTTAATTTTCTCAAACACAGTCGGTAACTGATCTTATCTACTTCAAAATTAAAATTGTTTAAAGATACATTTTGTAAGATTTAGATAAAGGGCTGGTGGATACTGTTATAAAAGTTCAAAAATAGATAAATCAAAATGAATAGGCCTATTGAAAATTTCAATCAAATTACTTTATTCTGAGCCAAGTTATCACTGTTTGTAGTTTTGACAAGATGTGTGCATTATCCTAACCACGGTACTGGTATATTCGAGACTTAGACTAGATCCTCCATTTTTGAATTAAATCATTAAATGGCCGAACCGTTCTAATGTAGTTAAAATCTTGAATATCCGATGGCATCGAGGGTTGATTATTGTCTGGTCATGTTAATGTCTAATTAATAATTTATATAACATATAAGGCCTAAAGAAAGACCTACAATAGGCAGATTTAGCTCTTGTATAATGTATCTTTAATGACGAGAATGTTCATCGGGATTTTCCAACGTGGTTTTCCCTTGTCAATGGTGTAGGACGGAGATCCTGACAAGGACAGCTGTTTAGTCATTCGGATGAGACGAAAAACCGAAGTCCCGTGTATACATTGGCGTGCACGTAAAAAATCCCCTGGCCGTTGGAATTCGATATAAGAGTAGGCCATAGTAGAGTGCAAACGCCCAGGCAAAATTTCCCTCATAGCACACTGTATGGCGTATGCCCGTCTTCATTAGCCCAGGTAGGAGCAGAACAGTAGGACGTTAAACCCCATTTCATTTGTTTCTTTAATGAACTGGGTGCAAAAGAGATAACTCATATAATCTAGTAGATATATAAAAATATGTCTTATCAACATTTTGCTATCATGGTCAAGTCGTCTTTCTCCTGGGCTTTAGATAATAAAATCTGTCATTTAGGGGGCGGGTGCGAATGGTTAACACGTGCGCTGCATCATAAGGCTTGTCACTGAGTCAACTGGCGTGGTTTCGAATCCTTGGTTGTACGTGACAAGGAGTAGTTTGGTCGCCTGTCCAGCCTGGTGGGTTTTCTCCGGGTCCTCCGATTTCCTCCCACTGATTTCGATTTAAAGCCTGTAAGTACCAAGGAGTGGGGTCGACTGCCCAACCTCGTGGGTTTTCTCCGGGTCCCTTTGTTTCCTCATACAACAGCTAAAGACCCTAAGCACAAACGAATTATTGAAATACAAGTGTACCATATGTTAGTCCCGAAGTAACCTGGGTTTTTTTGAGTGGACGTTAAACCCTATTTCTGTCTTAGTCTCTTTTACCGCTTGAACACCATGAATTGATTTATATTTTCAGAATTCCAGAAGGTGTTAAACTTACCACATTGAAACCAGAGCACGCCAAACGTTTGAGGCAGGATTGGAATAACGTAAGAGGTGGAAAAGACTTAGATAACTACTTCCGCAAAGTTATAGAGAATTTTGACAGCAGCGCCCTCATCAATGCTAAAGGGGAATTACTAGCGTATATATGTATGCAGTTTAATGGCTCAATGGCCATGTTACATGTTCATGCTGACCATCGAGGAAATGGATACGGTGAAATTATATTAAAATCCATGACACATAAACTGGCATCAAAAGGCGAAATTCCATACGGTTTTGTTCCATCCAAAGACTTATTAGGGATACAGAAGGCCCAGTACTTTGGGTACACATGGGTCCCTCAGGGAAATATGGTCTGGGTACGGTATATACCGAAACCTAAAATAGATTACTCAAAAACAGGCAGCTTGGAATCAAGAGAGAAGTTAAATGCATCTCACGAGGAAGAAGAAACTCACATGTTTATTAACGCCATTCCATTGGCAGTCAATGACAAACCTAAAACTCCAATGAATAATTATTTTACTACGGCTGTCAGTTCTTCATAATCATTACCATAACCAGTCTGATTAGAGTTCATGACGCAACGTAATGCTGACTAATTTGTAGCGGAAATGGGATATCTGGTCGTTTTAAATATATTTCCGCGCAGTCGCAGTTTTTATCATATGAACAAATGACTTTTACCAATCAAAATCGCACTCGGCAAACCTCGGGAGATTCGGTTACTCTACATCTAGCCTCGGCTGTATGGCGGTAAATGATATGTACCTACGCCTATACAATTGCGGTGCGGCACCGGTTTACTTATTAGGAAAACTTGGCGCTTTTAAAAAGAAGTTCTCAAAATTGCGTCGTTCGAAGGTGTGTAGAATTTTTAGTGCAAAATGTCCTTGTTTCAAGAAAATTGGATAAACTTGAAAGAAAAACAGCTTTAGACTTTAAAATATTTGTATGATAAAACATTCTTCAAAGGCGTCGTCATGGGCAACGCCGTTGGTAATCCTGGAACTTGAAAGTAGTTCCAATGGCGGACTTCGTCATACAGCTGAGACTAGATGTAGGGTACTGGAATCTGTTGAGGTTTGCCGAGTGATGAAAATCTATGACACAAACAGTTCTAAGTGGCCATTTTAGTTTAGAGTAATGATAACTTGTATGATTTAACGACAAAGGGAAATAACTGTTTCAAAAACAAACTGTTTCTCGTGATATTTTTTGGCACGTTTAAAAAACGTTTAACGCCAACGGTACTATGCGAAATGAAATGAAATGGGAGTTTATAAGTCTTACTTTTCTCAATCTGATTAAAACACAGATCCTATTTCGTTTCGTTTTTTTTTATAGTTCAAAATTTCGTTTTACTTGTCTTTACTACACTAAGATCGGGAAGAGTTGTTATAATTGACGTGTTCTGGATGATGTGGGGGGGGGGGGCAATGAAACGGTCTGTTACGACGAGCTTTAGGCGTGTGGTGCACGGAACTGTTGGTAATACACTAGAAACATCAATACTGATCGGTTAATCAAATATCTGACGTCACAAGGTCAAAAGCCTCTTGTATGACCGATGACGCGACCTATCGCTACAACCGGTCAGATCTTTATGTAGTGTAGGTCATCGAAAGTATAAAAAATCGAAACAAAATATAGATCTGTATTTTAATCAGGTTGTACCTTTCTGCGCCTCACTATGCAAGACGACGAATAACAACGAATGGGCATATCTTAATACAATCAGCCGACCGAACTATTCGTTCCGTTGTCTAATACTAAGTATTAAAATGTAAATTACGATACCAATTGACGAGCGTTACCAGACAACGCAGGAACATTACTTTAAACAGTCAGCAGTGCAACTATTATTTTAGTTGTCTATTATTAAAATATAAATTACGAAACAAAGGATCTAGTGTTACTTGGCAACGCAGAAACATCACTTTAAGCAGTCAGCCGTGCAAAATATTCGTTTCGTTATCTCATCATAAATATAAAAATATAAATTACAGAATACGCTATCTAACGGAACGAATCGTATTGTGATTTTATAATATCAGACTGGTTCATTGTTATAGATTTAATGTATTACTGTAATAATGTATTATATGTACATATTAGTAATTCATGATAACATATATTATATTATATTGTGATAATAATATGGTTGTTATCATTCTTTGACACTCTGTTCACGAGTGATCGGGCTGTAGATGATGTATTTGCATTAGTGTTATAAAGATCAGGTGACATGACGTCACATGAAAACGGTTCATTTTCCTAGACTTGTAAATCAACCAAACCGGACTGATGAACATGTAGTGTGCTATGCGTGACAATTTGCCCGTATAGCGCCTACTCTTCATCGGCTTCTTTTATGTGCACGCCTACGAATACACCAGACAGGAAATTGTAATGAAGACATGCATACGCCATACAGTGTGCTATGAGTGAAATTTTGCCCGGACAGCGGCACTACGGCCTACTCTTATATCGAATTCCAACTGTCAAGGGATCTTTTACGTGCACGCCAATGTGTACACGGGACTTCGGTTTTCGTAACAACCGAACGACTAGACAGCTGTCCTTTTCATGCCCTCGTCTCGCACCACTGACAAAGGGGAAACCAGATTGGAAAATCTGTATCCATGCTAGAATGTGCTTCTTTTAAATTCACACACTCCATTGAACTAGGATGTTTATTGTACTGTATTATATGATTGTCATTGTTTGCTGTCAAATACCTTGTATAATTTAAAATATAATAACAATAAATATTTTTATATAAAAAAAAATTATGAGTATCATTTTTTTAAAATTGTTCTTATTGTATAAGATGAGATGAGATCAAATGGGGTTTAAAGTCCAACTGTTCTGCTCCGACTGGGCTAATGAAGACGGGTATACGCCATACAGTGTGCTATGATGAAAATTTTGACTTACGGCCTACTCTTATATTGAATTCCAATTGCCAAGGGGGCCTGTGTGTGCACGTTAATGTGTACACAGGGCCACGGTTTGTCGTCCAAACGGGCGACTATACGATGTCCCGTTTCAGGCCCTCTGTCCTGCCCCATTGACAAGGAGAAAACACGACGGAAAAATCCCGATGAACATCTCGGCCAACATAAGGGACCAAGTACGACACCTCCGGGTTAGCGAGCTGCACTTTATGTATAAGAAAGAGAGAGAGAAATGGGGTTTAACGTCCACTCGACACAAACTAGGTCATTTCGGGACTAACATACGGTTTAATTGTAGGGGTCTTTAGCAGTTGGAGGAAACTGGAGTTCCCGGAGAAAACCCACGAGGTTGGACAGGCGACCCTACTCCTTGTCACGTACAACCGGGGATTCGAAACCACGCCAGCCGACTCAATGACAGACTTTATGATACAGCGCGCGCACGCTAACCATTCAGCCATCCAACCCCCACACTTTATGTATAAAATAGAAAGTTTGTTTGGTTGTTATCGCGCTTACGAAACCAAACGCCTGAACTTTAATAACCAGTTTATTTACAAGAAATGTAAGGGTGCTATTTATTTTGTATTTGGTGTAGTATTTAATGATGAAATGGGCAATCAATGACACAACACTGTTCCCAGGATGTCCCAAGGGAGAAAACTCCATTTTGTGATATTGGGTCGTGGGATCTATCCACAGTTCACAAGATGAGATGTAAAGAAAACGAATTTAATACAACTTCATATATGCATTTTTACAAGAAGGCTAATGGTGCTATATTTATGTTATACTTGGCCCAGTATCCAGGCCTAATGCTGAAATTGGCAATGTGTAGGCCTATTGCATTATTATGGGTGTTACAAAAATGGAGATCCAAGCAACGTCGGGTAACCAAGTTAGATATTGGAATCCGTGTAAAGGTTTATACTCATATATGCCGGTTTTTCACTAATTCACTGTCCATGAAACACGCCCACATTCGGAATTAATTTTAGTCCTATCCTAATCGATTTTCGGTGGCCAAGTGTAAGTGATAGCAAGGGAGTTAACTCCATTTCAGACACAACTTATAAGGATGCAGACCACCATTAATTTCCCCATTGACTTCAATGTTAATTATGGCCTCTTTGCCCACCTCCAACTTTTCCCCAAATTTTCGTTGGCTGAATGCTTTTCCCTACAGACAGAGGAATAAATGGTTTTGTCTTTACACTAAAATTTGTGTAAGGTTGACCTCTAAAGTTTTGAGATACCCAAACTTGAAGAAGCATACTTAAAACATGTAACTAGTTGCCGTACATATCACGGTAGCCAACCTGATGATCCCGTTATCCTTCCGCCTCAAAATCGTGAATATTTACCAAAATCCGCCAGAAAATGTTAATTCAAACCCCCTTCGTCCATTCTAGACCAACAAAATCAACAAAAATGGGCATGCAAAGGGGGGGGGGGGAGAGAGAGAGAGAGAAAGAGAGAGAGAGAGAGAGAGAGAGAGAGAGAGAGAATTACTATAAATAGACGAACTGGTGAAATTTAATGGTGGTCTGCCTCCACAGCTTGTAACTTCTATTATGTAATGTTTGTTTATTCACCTACACAGAATGCTGAATTTTAAGAAATTCTCAATTGATCATAATGATAATGGATCATAATGATGATTGATCAATGATCATAATGATAATTGATCATAATGATTGTTAATGTTGCACCGAATTGAACAATATTTATATTTTGTCTGGTATTACTTTTAGAGAATCAATGTTTACAACATGCAGTTTGTCAGGGATTCTAAGCCCTCAAATCTAGATGCCTTATTTTATAATAATATTATAAACCACGAAGTACAATATAAATTGTTATTCAAGTCATGTGATATCATGTGCATAATACTAGCTACTTCTTATAAAAAAAATGAAATAGGGGTTTAGCACCCTACTTCTTTCCACCGACTGGGTTAAAGAAGTCGAGCGGATGATAACACTATCGAGGATTCCTTTACGTGCACGCCAACGTCTACAAAGCCAAAATGTCAAGGGTAGATTTCCCGACTTGGATTCAATCGCATTAAAAGGTGTCCATCCAAAGATTCCGTTGATGCTAACCCTCATACCAGACAAGAGCCCACTGTCGGCAATGAAACACTATTTTCTATCAAAATCAGCAGTCTGCGTTGGATCGTACGTAACACAAGAGTTCCCTCCCTTAAATAAGGTAATCTTTAACGATTATCAATACAGAGAGTTTTATATCTGGATGTCAACCAAGGGTATGTGCGTAGATGTGGAGGACGGTCGATCTCAAAATAAGTGCACTCACTGCAGTTGGTCTCCAAATTATGCATCGGCTACTAAATGAACAAACAATGCCAAAACAGAAATAGAAGGGAAGGGAAAATCCCAAATACTTAATATGAATACATCTGTGTATACGTATGATTGCTTTGATTCGATATCGCAATCCGACCCAGTTTTTCCAAAGATCAAATAACTAGAAACTGTTATGCGTTCAGTTATAAAACAAGAACACCCAATGAACTAGTGAGCGTGACGTGACGGACACGATCGCCGAACACCTGATGAAAATATGAGGACATAGTCATATCTTTGATAATTTATGTATATATTTACCACAACAATATATCGAAGATATAGGTCCATGAAAATGATGTAATTATTATCACTTTCATAAGTTGTCAAAGCTTCACGGTACTTTATACGTTCTTGCAAAATTCCTAATAAATCAATCTGATTAAAACCCAGATCCTATTTCGTTTCGTTTTTGTATATTTCAAAATTTCGTTTTACTTGTATTCACTAAACTAGGATCTGGAAGAGTTGTTATATAACGGGTAGTCTAGTTGATGTGAGGAATTAGCCAATGAAACGGACTGTTACGGCTACTTTTTGGCGTGCAATGCAGGGAACTGTGGGTAAACCACTAGAAACGTCAACGCTGATTGGCCAATCAATGTCTGACATCATAGCTCAAAAGCGGCTCGTGCGACCCCCTGACACTACCTTCCAGTACAACTTGTCAGATCTTCATGTAGTGTAGGAGTGTAGGCAATCGAAAGTATAAAAGAACGAAACGAAATATAGATCTATATTTTAATCAGATTGCTAATAAACATGAATTCCCATGCGTAGTACTCAATTTTGCTCATATTATAAGTGTTTTCTGCCATCCGATTTCTGCAAAGTCTGGAGCCACGGTGGCTAGGTGGTTAAGACGCTGGCTCGCTAGCCTGGAGGTCGGGTGTTCGATCCCTGCATTGGCCGAGAAAGTTCATCTGGATTTTCCGACGTGGTTTCCCCTTGTCAGTGGTGCAGAACGGGGGGCCTGACAAGGACAGCTGTCTAGT